CCACAGTATATCATCACTCTCAACGTGTGCGTGTGTGTGTGTGTGTGTGTGTGTATTTGACGGAATATTGCACATCTTTTAAAAACATTATCTATGTAAAATAATTTTATATGCTATTTTAATAACCTGGAAAATGTTTCTGCTATAATGTTGAGTTAAAAAAGGATTTGAAACTGTCTATATAACATGAGTACCACCTCTTAAAATATTTAAGCTATGTATATATATGTATGTAGGTACATATATGTATATATATGCATATGTATATAGAAAGGAAAAGGAAACATGTGAATGTGTTAACAGTGATTATATTTGGGTGAACGGGCGTGTTCTCCCTCTACATTCAATGTTCTGTATTTTGTACACATTCAACCACGGGTCACCACTAACTGACAATCAGGATGAACTTGCTGGCTCTTCATTTGCAAGTCCCTCAACAAGAGGAGCTGACCTCTCACCTCACCGTGGTCTCCAGTCCACCTGTCAATGTCCCAGAACAGAGAAGCCAGAGGCCTCTGGGACCTGGCTTCAGCATAGGAGCACAGTCTTTCATGGCCCCTCGTCACCACCCAGGAACAGGACTGGCAATTCCAGGGTAATGGCACCAGCCCTGAGAAATCCCACAAGCCACGCCCGAGGCTCCCTGAAAATGCCGTGTCAGCACAGGCACCACACACAGTGGGCCTGACCCAGAGCAGGGACCACAGCTTACAGCCAGTCCCCACCCCACGCTGTCCATCCACACAATACTTAGGGCTGCCCAGTGTTTTGTTTGTTTGTGTTTGATTTTGTTTTCAATCAAATTATCTGAAAATTTCTAATTAAAAGACCCCACAGAAAAAAATCTAGCTTTCTGCCTTCTCTTAAAAATCAGAAGATCCAGGCCACACGACAAAAGTCAGCTGGAGGAGTCGTAGCCACCCTCTTCGACAGGATGTGGGCCTACCTTGCAGCAGTCCCCACCACTCGCTACTGTCTCCCAGATGCTGGAGTTGACACATGTGCTTGAACGGCTGCTTTTCTAATAGCAGAGTGATATGGAAAGTGAAATACGTTCTAAGTCCATGTTTCATTCAAAGAGGAAAAGTGAAATGCAAATCAGGAAGGCTGTCGGTGTCAAGAAAAATGGAAGAGGGTACATTTCCAGGCACCTCTGCTCATTTACGTTACCTCCCTGATCCCAGCGGTCTCTGAGTTTTCTACCTCTGGCCTAAAGGGTTCTTGAGGAGCAAATCAAAGAAAACCATAGCCCCCATCACTTTTTGCAGAGATTCCTGGTAGAAAGGAGCACCTGCTGCCCCTTTGCCTGCCTCCTCTGTTCCTGCCCCACTAGCTGATCCTCCACCTGCAGTCACCAAAGACCTTCCCCTAAGCGGCTGGGGTGGGAGGTAAGGAAGAGTGGATGCTGCAGAGAGGAGCTGCCCAAGGCCACAGAATTCAGACCCATCCCGTGGAACCCACGAGCTGCGCCCATTACTTGAACAATGTCATTTTGGAGATGTGCTCCCAGCCCACATGCCCCCTAAAGTTTGAAGCTGGTTTGGTGCATGATGATTTTGTGCAGAGGCCCAGGGGTTACCAAAGTTCCCATAGCCTCGGCTTCTACAAAATTCTAGGGCAGAAGCAGAAACAGCATCAGTGGGTACTGAGCCGGACTGCCTGGGTCTGGATCTCAGCTCCACCTCCCACTGGTGGAGTGACCTCAGGCAGGTTATGGAACCTCTCTGTGCCTTAGCCTCCTCCTTTGTAAATTTCTGGGAGTCAGGTTGTTGTTAAGATTAAATGCACACAAAGCTCCTAGCACAGTGCCTGGCATATAAGTGCTCTGTAAATACTGGTTACTCAGCCCTCAGTGCTGTGATCTGATTGATCCCAGATGAGAGGCTTGAGGGGACCTGAGGTGACCCTGCAATCCTGGCCTCTACCCTCCCTCCACCCACTCAGGTAAACCATCTTTGCCTTTGCACCGCTAGCTAAGCCCTTGGGACCAGGCACAACCAACTTAGAGCTCTGCAGGGCGGAGAAGTGCTTGCCTGCAGGAACCTCCCCCAGCTTATTAAGGGGCTTCCTAATAAGCCCCCTAATAGGCCAGTTTCTGGGCACACTTGGAAGGTCAGAACAAACACACATTCATTTTCTGTTGCTGCCTTGGGGGATTTGCTGAAGAGAACCAGTTTCCTTCTGGCAGCACACATGAACGGACACCTGAGGCCGAGGGCAGGATCCCATACTGGATGGGATCAACGAATCACATCCCTCCCGAGATGCTCTCAGTGCCTCCCGTGGTGGGGGCGCAGAACAGCGTGCTGGTCCCCATGTTCTCACTGCTCAGAGGCCTAATCCAGGAGACAAGGCCCTAGAAGGGTCTAGACTTCCCAGAGGGGCAGTACTGGAGAGGCTGGGCCTGGGTGGCCCATGTCCCAGGCTCCCGTGGCCCCAGAGAGCAGGCATGGGCAACCCTCAGTGCTGCCCTGACGATGCACAGTCCTGACCACCAGGCTCTCCTTCCACCCCTCCTACCACCTGCTCCAAAGGCCTTCCTGAGCCCCAGCCTGGCTGAGAACCCATCCCACTCCCTCCTACCCACCATGTCTGACGTGGCCCATTCTCGTCTGCCTGTCTGTGGACGGAGCACCACAAGAGGGACAGGACAGAGTATTTTGTACACCGCTGTGTCCCCAGCACCTAGCCTGTGCCTGGCACACAGCAGGGGCATAACTATTGTGTATTGGGTAAATGAACAGGGCTAACAGTCATGTCAACCTCACACTGTCATGGTGGATATGACATGAGATGATGCACGGACAGTACTTAACACAGTATCAGGTACATGACTTGCACTTACCAACTTTGGCAGCCGCTGATGGTGGCTGCTCAGCTCCCTAAAATTGGCTGGTTGATGCCCACCCAGCTTTGGGGCCCTTTTTGGGTCTGGTCTTTCCCTGGCTGCCTCCTATCCTTCCTCTAGTCTCCTAGCCTAGAGGCTTCTTAGCCTGGCCTCAGGACCCCTTGAAGCTCAGGCCTTGGCCTGGCAAGTCGGCCACCATTCTAGCTCCCCTCTGCAGGGCAGGTGGGGGTTGGTGAGGATGGGACAGAGGATGGAACCAAGCACTGTCAAGAAAGCTCACCAATTAATTTGCCTCCACACATCCCAGGCTTTCTGAAGGAAGGCACTTCCTGAGAAACATCTCCCTCAGTGTCCCGGCCGGCTATACCCACCCCCATACATGCACAAATACCCCTATTTCCTCCCCTTCCAGGGACAAGACGCCCAGGTTGTGAAGGAGGCAGAGCTGCCCCCAGGAGCTGAGGGGCCTCATCACCGAGACTTTTCCAACATCTGAACTCCAAAGAGTTTTAAGACTTCTGGAGAGATTTCCTCTGCACCCGAGACTAACACGAGCTTTGCCGAAGTAGACAGGATAGAGCAAAAAGCCAGCCTGGGGGCCAGGGCTCCTGGGTTCCAAGCATGCTCACAGTGCCCTTCATTCCTCTACCTCTTTGCTTTTGACTCTGGAATAGGACCAGATCAGCGAGCTTCAAACGTTTCTCAGAAGCGCAAGCCTTTAATCAAACTAAGATGTGCCAAGACACAACCTAATATGGCAAGTAGATAAAGGTGGGGAACCCCTGCCTTGCATCTCCCTGGGTGGCCCCCATGGGGGTATGCTCTGTGACCCTCTGCATGAGCCAGGCCATTTGTTGCCCTGTGTCTCCCCACATGCTGACAGTGACTATGGGTTTTGGGGCACTGAGCAGGTGTGACCCACCTTCTGGGAGCAGCCAGGTCCCAGGCCCTCTATTTGCCCCAGTGGGAAGCATCAGCACCATGCTCGGAGGATGCACAGCCCTGTCCTGGACACCTCCCGGGCTGGGCAGGGAGCACAGGCTTAATCAAGGGGCGGGGGTGGGAGAGGTGTCAGGCTGGGATGCTCCTGATGAGCCATGTTGGGGCTTTGGCTGTGGGCACAGCTGAGTCCCAGCCTCTGTGGGCAGAGGGGTGACAGACAGGCCATGCAGAAGTCTTCTAGGGAGAGGGGTCTAGCCACAAGAGCTGTCAGCCCCAATTGGATATCTGAGGTGACAGGAAGGACCACGGTCCAGCCCTTCCATTATACGGAAAAGGAGACTGAGGCCCAGGAAGGGACAGCATCCTTCCTGAGGGGACAGAGTGACACTAGAGCCAAGAACCAAACCCCAAGCTATTGAAATTTGTCTTCTAAGACCCCCAGCTTGGCCTTCCTCCACAGTTGGCACTTTCTACTCTGCACAGCAAGTGCCACCCTATTGTTTCCATCCTCCTTGATCAAGACCACCCCCAGGAAAAGACGCAGAAACCTCCATTTCCAACGGGAAGGAAATAACAGATGCAGCTTGTGGTATGGGAGTGGCTGTGCGGCACACCAAGAAATGAAGCTCTAACTGAAAGGTCAGGGCTAGGAGCAGGTGAGGTTGAAGAGAGCAGCGGCCCCCTTCCCAGCCCTGAGGCCAGCCCAGGTGCAAGGCCTCCACGGCTGCTCGCAGCTGGCACATGGGGCCATCACATGGGGCCCCACGCTAGCTTTAATGCTCTGCTCTTGTTCTTTTAAAATTCTTAATCATTTTTGAACAAGGGGTCCCACATTTTCATTTTGTACTGGGGGCCGCAGATTATGCAGCTGATCTTCACTAGCCAGTCATTAACTGTGTGTCTTTGGGTAGGTATCTAACCTCTGGGAGCCTCTGTTTGCTCCTCTGGAAACCACAACAGCACCTGCCTTCCAGAATTGTTATGAAGACGAATTAGAACATACGCAGAGCTCTCAGCAGGTGTACAGCACACATAATAAATACTTAACCAGTGAGAGTTAGTACTATGGATGAAATAATAATAATTACAGACTATTACATGACAACCTAGATGTCTTGCTCAATCAAAAGTATGCTAACAAACGCATCCCAGATCTGGTGAACCAGATCACAAGTCCCAAGACATCAGGCCCCCTCCCCTGGCCTCTTACCTTCCTGAAATGGCTGTGTTTGCATCTGCAGCCGGATCTTGATGAGGTCCACGGGCGCACCCAGCCCAACAGACACCACGCCGGCCACCATGCTGGCCAGCAGCAGGTCAGACAGGGTGCGGGACGGGCTGGCCCCAGGCTCCCTGCAGTGCTGCCAGCTGAGGAACCTCTGCGTGTTACTGAAGACCCCAAACACCACTGAGTTGTAGACGGCGATGCTGGCGAGGGGGAAAGACATGCCCTTGAAGAAGCCAAACACCTGTGGGCAAACCCAGTGGGAGGAAGCATGAGGGCCCAGGGCCGTCTGCAGGCAGGCGCCAGGCTCCCCGTACTGCCCTCGCACAGTCCCTGCCCCCTGGGGCCCGCAGGCTGGCGGGGTGACACTGCAGAAAAAGGAAACCAGTATGTCAGTGAGGAGAATAACAGAGGATGCCGATGAGACAGGAGAGACGGGGCGGGTGAGGGACTGCTCCCCACTCAGGAGCAGGGCATTCTTGCTCTGGAGAAGCCGGCTTCCGTGTGATGTTTTGTTTCCTGAGCGGTAATATGCTGGGCCTGGACCCTATCTTTGCCACCGGGTTGGCAGTACTCTTGGGCTGGAAAGAAATCAGGCTGCGGCCGAGGGGGAACGTGTGGAGCCCTAGTGGGTAGTGGACTTGCCAACACCACATACACCCTCCTAAGTGACTGCTCCAACAAAAGCATCCTCCAGGCACTTGTCACGTGCCAGGCTCCGGGGGACAACATAAGAAAAAGACTGTCCACTGAGCTCAGGGTCTGGGGGCCGGGAAGGCGAGAGGGACAGGAAAGAGAAACTGATAGGCAACTATAATACAATGTGCTAAGTCTGCGGTTAGGGGCTAAGAAGAGGGTCCCACAGCCCAGAGGGGCACCTGGGCCAGCCTGTAGATGGGTGGCCCTGAGCACGGGAGTCTCTTGGCAGAAGAACTGGGGAGGAGAGCCCCAGGAAGGCCTTCTGCACATACACAGGACGCAGCAGGCAGAGGAAGGTGCTGGAGCTGAGGTCACAGTTCTTTTCACACTGCATTCTCAATGAACACCAGAGACGCTCCGCCAAAACCAGCAAATTCCATAGGCTCTTGGAGGAGTCGGGGCAGTACAGTGTTTTAGCTCCGTGCCAAAGATGAATGAGCACCGGGAAGTCGTCGTACAAGCTCCAGGCTCTACACAAACCCACTAATCCTGACCTTCGTGCGTACACTCTATTTGCTAGAGGCAGGACCCCCTCACACGCACAGACATGCACACACAGACACACACACCCTGCTTCAGCCTCTTCCTCTACAACAAGCTCCCACAGATAACTGGGGACACTGCTTAGCCCTGAGCTACGGTGTCTCAAGGGAACACCCACAGTTCCCACAGCTAGGACGCTGGCTGGCAGACACTGCAGGGAATGTGCGCCAAAAAGGAGAATCAACGACCGCCTTTCAGGGGACGGAGGAATCACACATCACCCAGGAATAGGGTACTAGGTCTGCAGGGCTCGCCGTGATTTTAAAGCAGCCCATCAAGAGAGTTAGAACAACACTGACACAAGGCACACTTCATCTGAGGAGAAGCTCCAGGTGCAGCAGCAGATGCCAGAGCTCCAGGGCACTTGCACGAGGGAGACGAGTGGAGAGAGCAGTCAACAGTGGGGCCACATTTCCTGTGACTCAAGGCTAAGCCTCAGGCTGCCACGGGGCTTACACTCGATCACTTCTTTAATCGACAGGTCGTCTCATCCTAAATTTTAAAATTTGTTTATTTATTTATTTTCGCTGAGGAATTTGCCCTGAGCTAACATCTGTTGCCAATCTTCCTCCACGTTATATGTGGGTCGCTGCTACAGCATGGCTGACGAGTCGTGTAGGTCTGCACCCAGAACCCAAACCTGCAAACCTGGGTCACCAAAGCGGAGTGTGCCAAACTTAACCACTATGCCACTGGGCTGGCCCCTTAAAATTTATCTTAAATTTGCCAGAGGGGCCTTAGAAAGTCTTCTGAAAGCACATGCTATTCTCAGGAAAGGTACCTGATACATCTTCTATAAAATGTTGTGCAGGATTTCCCCTTTGCAAAGAAAACCCTTGGGTCCGCTGGTCTTGAGCGACCTGCAGTGCGAGCCAGCTCCAGGCATCTGGAATCAGAAGTGCTGGCTCCCGTCACGCCCGGATAAAGGGAAGCCTGTGAGCATGTGGTTTACGGGCCACTCACTCAGTTTTGAGAAACTGACAGGCCCCTCTGTTTTCCCAGGAAATTTCCACACTGTGGTTCTAAATTCCTCAGTATTTGTCCAGAGAGGTTACACAAAACCAGTTTTTTTCCCCAATAACATCACACTGGGTGGCGGGGCTATGTTTGGGTAACACATCATATTTGAGGAGTGGTGTGAGATGAGTAGGGAAAATTGAGCCCAACGTGATGATTGCTAACAAACAGGCTTCCTGCCCGCCGGGCTGGTGTGAGAGTGGTGGCCTTGGTCCCCAGGCCCGAGTGGGCTTCACCCCATTTGGTGGGAGGCCCTGGCAGGTATGGTGCCACCCACCCACTGAAGAGCACTTACACTCTCCCTCCTGTACACGGTGCGGATGCAGCTGAGGGTGTTCCCATAGCCGATGCCGGCCTGCAGGCGAGTCTGCGGAGAGAGGGAGGGGTCAGGGCCCAGGCAGAGAGGATCACGTCCCCACTGTCCCCAAGATGCCGAGCCTCCAGCACCGAGGCCCAGAGAGGGGACAGCCCTTCAGTGAGAGGTTTGTGTTTCAGTGCTGGCGAGGCTGGCCCTCTGTCCTCTACCTGCCTTGCCTCCCTCAACGTCCCATTGAGACCTTGCTAAACGCAGCAGAAGCCCTCTTGGTCTGAGAGAGGAACAGAGGCTGGTTTGTTGTGCAAAAACAATGCTTGTGTGGAGACATAGGACCCCTGCCCCTTGAGTGCAGAAAGCTAACCCGTGGCTCTGCTGCATCTGCTGTCCATCAGTCTGCCCTCCTAAATAGTCCCGGGAGCAACCTGTTCTTCTCACTTCCTGAACCCCCTCATCTCTCACCTGGACGATGGGCTGGTCTCACCACCGCCCTTCTGCTTCCCCCTCGCTCCTTCACCTGTGTCTACACAACAGTCAGACTGATCTTTTCTGAACAACAATGAACCACATCACTGCTGTTTAAAGTGCTCCAGTGGCCTCCCATCAAAGGCAGAATCAATTTCACAGCCTGTACCAGCACCCAGGAGGTCCTGGCTGAGCACCTGTGCCTGGTCTCATCCCCACATGCCCTTTCCTTCATGCCCCCGCCCTCTGCACCCGCCATATGCCACATCCCCAAGTCCCCGGAGCATCAGCTCTTTCCTGCCTCCAGAACTGCCCCGCATTCCCCATCTGGAAGGCTCTTTCTTCAGCTCCTGCTCATCTTTTTGGGTCTGAGCATAAATGTTGCCCTGGTGTCATCTGTTTGTCTGTTTACTTAGGGTGTATTCGAGCTGCCTTTCTGGGGCAGGGCTGTCTCATACTTCCCTCTCCTCCCTGGGGCCAAGCGGGAACCTGGCACTCGGCCCCATGAAACTGGCTGAATGAGGGGCTGGGTAGTGAAGGCATGGTGTCCTTAGCGGAGGCTGGCTCTGGTGGCCAGGGGAAGGGCTGACAGGCACAGAGGGTCTGAGTGAGCCCACAAAAGTGCCCAGGTCCCAGATGGTTCCACTTCTTTAAAGATGTGCAGCCTACGGTTCTCCATCAAAACAGTTTCTCAGCACCCACAATGTGCCATGCTGGTAGGAAGGAGCTGTGAGAGCCAGGGAGGAGGAGACCCAGACACTGCCCCCCAGAACCCAGGGTCCCGTGAGGAGCAAGACTCAGTGTGCAGACTGACTCTTCACCATTAATAGCATCAGCTCCATCTGCAGACAAGTAGAGAAGACTTTGGGAGAACACACCCCCCAAAAGTGATGGTCTCTGAGGTGAAAATCATGGGTGATGTTTTCCTGCATTGAAGTTTTCTTCATTTTCTAACTTTCCTAAAATAAGCAGGGTTTTTCTCCACTATTTTTAGCTTATATAATTTAAGAAATAATTTTAAGTACACAGCTAATATGGGAATACATTCTATCAATTAAAAAATTTCAACACTACATATAAGGCTGAAGTCTCCTTTGCCGGTTTCTCTCCCCCTCCACCTCCCCCAACCCCCGCAGCTAATCACCATGGCTCATAGCCTGGCTAACTGTTTGACAGGCATTCATCTAAAGAGTTTTGTAAAAACAGATAGCCAGAGAGAAGATGTAGTAATTCATAGGTCTGATACATAAATGGCATCACACTGTTGGTAAGTCTTATTTTCACAGTCAGAGAAACGTACTTACTGACTAACTCCACTCGTTGATTGGGTGCCTGTTTCCTAGCAGTCACTGTTCTGATCTCAGGGAATTCAGCAGAGAAAACAAACTCCCCGCACTCGTGGAACTTACAACCAAGCGGGGTCAGAAAAGACCATCAATAAGAAGTAATTCCCAAGTAAGCATATATGTCAGATGATAACAAGTGCCATGGAGAAAAATAAACCAAGGATCAGAAAAGCTGGGTGGCAGGGCAGGAAAATGCAATTTTAATCTGGGTGGTGGGGAAGACATCCTGGAAGATACAGCAAGATGAGACCTGGGCCTCCACGGTCCTCTTGTTGAGCAGAATCACAGAGGTCTACCCTGGGGCGGAGTATCTCCAGTCAGGACAAGGACGTGGGCCAGGAGAGGTGGGGCACAGGCCTCTCTCTTTGCCCCATTTAGGGCTGGCATGAGGCTGCATGCTCTCACCCGCTGATCCCAGCTCTGTCGGGGCTGTCCCTGGGTAGTGCATCCACGAAATGGTGGAGCCCATAGGAGGGATCAAGTTCCCACTAAGAAGGCTGAGTGGTCGAGTCGCTCAAGCAAACGGTACCTGAGGAAACTCAACCCAAGAGCCAAGCCCAGATCACAGAACAGTCTCAAAGCCATGGAGCAAAGGTCTGCCAGCCATGCGGAGCACTCAGGGAGCCTGTCACTGAGGCCAGCAGCACAGCTCAAGCCTCCAGGGCCTCCAGTTACAACAGGAGCCGGCATTTAGTGTGCACCAACTTGGTGCATGCTTGGGGAAACATGGGCCATCTTCCAGAACTTATCTCACTGAAGCTCACAAATGTTATATAGCGTCGATACTATCCCCATCTTACAGATGAACAAAGATGATTTCCTGTGTTAGTTTCCTATTGCTGCTATAACAAATTACAACAAATTTAGTGGCTTTAAACAATACCAGTTTATTCTCTTACAGTCTAGCTGGTCTAAAGGCAGCTAAGCCCTAATTAGAAAACCCTGGTCACACTGCATCAGGCATAAATCCTGTGCCAGGAGCCAGGGGAGAATCTTGACCCCAGCTCCACTGCCACCAAGCAGCCAGTGGCTGGCTCTCCCATCTATGATGGGGAAGGAGCCTTTGACCCAGGTCAGCAGTTTGGGTCCTTTTAGTTTGGCTCTTCCGCAGGTGAGCCATGGGACCTCAGACAAGTCACTCGTCTGCCTCCCCACACCCCAGCGTGTGTTCATCAGGATGGGAATGGCTTGCTCATTGCTCTATCCTTGGTGCCACAGTGACCATCTTCTTGACAGCCCTGCTGGAGAGGTGCTCTTTGCCCATTTTACAGACAAGGAGGTTAAGTGTTGTGCCCTGCCCCACAGTAGGTGGGGAGGCTGGGACTGGACTCCAGGTTATTCTGACTCTGAAGTTCTCACCCAAACCTTTCTCAGTGGACAGGGAGCCTACAGAAAATGTCAGCCAGAAAGAAGGAAGATGTTCCAGGGAGAGACAAGGGCCCCTGCCCACAGCCTCTGAGGCCTCAGAGGCCGGTCATGGAAGCTGGGATCTCCAGGCTGGAACCCACAGGAGGGAGGTTCTGAGGCTGAGCAGGGACTCAATTTTACATATCAGGAAGGGTTCCCTCCAGAGGCTCAGGGCACAGAGTGGTGAGGAGGAGAGCCCCAGCCTTTTCAAGTGACATGTGGCCAGGCCTGAGGTAGCCAGACTTGCCTATGCAAGGGCCAGGGGTCTCCAACAAGCTCCACCAGCCCCTGGTCAGCCTGCAGGTGAGGGAAAGATACTACCAGGGAGCCACAAAGGTTGCCTGTGTCAGAAATGTGGCTGGAAGGCCCTCAGGGACAGGGATTGGACCTGCTCTGTCCACCACCGAGGTCCTGCCGTCCCCACAGCACCTGCACAGAGAATGTCCACTATGCAGTTGATGTTTGAGCAAAAGGTAGGGCCTGTATGAGGGACACGAGGAGCCAGGAAATTTCTTCAACATTTAAGAGAAGCAGGCTGACCTCCCCATCAAGAAGAGAGCAGGCCTGGGCCCTGACCTGGGAAGGGGCCCATTGTCACGCCAGAGGAAGACAGGAGACAGGAAACTACAGCGGCCATCTGAGAAGGACCTGCGAGATTCCTCTTTGTGCCTGATCCAGGCAGAGCTGTAGAGATGGATGTGGAAGTCGGGGAGGAAGGGGCACTATTTGTGGCCATGTTCTCAGGGTTTGGCTCTGAGTCCTGCTTACCACTGGGGATGGGTAGCAGAGATGGAGGTGGAGTCAAAGAATGTGCCTTTATAGCCTCTCACTCAGCAATGCTTTAACTTCTTGTATGACCTGAGGCAAGCCCCTTCCCCTTTCAGGGCCAGTTTCTACATCTGTAGAAGAAGGGGTCTGGATGATCCCAATGCCAGATGGCTGTGCTGGCTCCAGAGTCCTCACACCCCATGCACTTCACCAAGTTATAATGACTTCCCATTCCCAACCTAAGTCCAGAGTCCTGAGCTGATATTCAAGACCTCCAAGGATTGAGTGCTGACCTGCCTTTCTTGGATTCTCATCCGTAGATGCTCTCGGAAACCTGATGCATCAACAAAACTGGACATGCTGGCCTTTCCCAAGCGTACCCCCCACCCAGTGTCCCCACCTCAGTGCCTTTGCCCATGACGTTCTCTGTACCTGAAACATCTTTTTTAATCACCTGAAACCCAACCCTAAATTTTGGGCTCAGATGCTGCCTTACACTTGAAGGCTTTTCTGGTTCTTATTTCCATAGGGACTTGCAGGAGGACACTCATCTGTGCCCCGGCCCCTCCCCAGCAGGTCCTGAGAACCCGAAAACAGAAATGGGATGATCACAAAAACAAAATCACTGCCAAGTAATGAGGGCAGAGCCTTCCAAACCAGGCCTCCTGGCACCCCACCCCCATGGGCTGGCACAGAGAGCCTGCCCTGGCTGGAGACTCTCTGGGGATCAGAACCAGCAGGCACATTCCTGGAGGCAGTCACACCCCAGGCCCCCTTCCAAGAGGTAACGGCAACAATGGCTACTGTACCTTGACTGTGTCCAGAGGGTGGCCAACGATGACACTGGCTGCACCTGCGGATTAAAGAATACCTGGTCACTCAGCCCCTGGGCTCCTGGCTTGCACCTGCTGGCTCGTGGGACAGGACAGAGGGCTCAGGCACTTACATTCACTTATTCTGTCACCAAAAGGGATCCCTAATGTGCTAGGCACTGGCCCAGGCACCAAGGAAAGCAGATAAAATGGAGGAAAACCTGCGCCCTGCCTCAAGAAACAAGCACCCCAAAAAGGCAGGTGAAGGTGCTGAGACAACTGGGTATCCACATGCAAAACAATGAAGTTAGATACCCCCCACCTCACACCATATCCAGAAATTAACTCAAAATAGAACAACGACCTAAATGGAAGCACTAAAACTATAAAAATCATATACTAAAACATAGGGAAAAGTCTTAACAACCTTAGATTTGCAATAGATTCTTAGCACAAGTAACCAAAAAAAATAGATAAATTGAATAGCATAAAAATTAAAAACTTTTGTGCACCAAAGGATACTGTCAAGAAAGTGAGGACAACCTACAGCATGGGGGGGAGATATTTGCAAAACATATATTTGATAAGGGTCCAGTATCCAGAATATATAAAGAACTCTTACAACTAAAAAAAAAATTTTTTAATAAAAGACTTAAATAGGCATTTCTCCGAAGAAGATATCCAAATGGCCAGCAAGTACATGAAAAGATGCTCAACATTATTAGTCATTAGGGAAACATACATAAAAATCACAATGAGATTCCCTTTCACACCCACTACGATGGCTCTAATAAAAAAATGGAAAATAACTAGTATTGGCAAGAATATGGAGAAATTGGAAATTTGTACATTGCTGGTGGGAATGTAAAATGGTACTGCTGCTGTGGAAAATGGTTTGGCCGTTTCTCATGAAATTAAGCAGTTACCATATGACCCAGTAATTCCACTCCTAGATATACACTTAAAAGAACTGAAAATAGACACCCAAACAAGTACACGTCCATGCGTGGTCATAGCAGCACTATTCACAATAGCCAAAAGGTGGAAACAGCCCAGTGTCCATTACCGGATGAATGGATAAATAAAATGTGGTTTATCCACACAATGGAATATCATTAGCTGTAACTAGGAGTGAAGTATGGATACACGCCGCAGTGTAGATGAACACTGAAAACATGCTAATGAAAGAGGCCCAGACAAAAAGGGTCACATATTGTATGATTCCATTTCTATGAATTATCCAGAATAGGGAAATCCATAGAGCCAGGAAGTAGATTAGAGACTGCTTCGAGGGAGAGGGAGGGGATAGGGTTTAACTGTAAATGGGCACGAGGGATCTTCCTGGGGGGGGGGAGAGAAAAGGCTGTAAAACTAATTTATGGTAATGGGTGCACAACTTGGTAAAATTACTAAAAATGGTCAAATTGTACAATTGAAATGGGTGAATTTTATGATGTGTAAAATAACCTCAGTAAAGTTGGTTTAAAAATAGAGACGTAGCACTTAAACAGCACCTGGTACCTACCAAGGATTCACTGTTACTACACTCATCCTTATTTCAGGGAAGCCAAAAGAAGAGATGTGTTAACATGAACAAAGCAGGACAATGTCAGAACAAACGACAATCCACTACTTGCTGTGTGAGCAGGGCAGGGAGGTCTCTGTGTCACCAGAGCCTCTGAGCTACTCTGACAGCCTTGCCCTCCAGGGTGTTTCTCAAACCAAGCTCCTGGCAGCCCTCCTGAAGCTGGTCTGGCTGTTCAAGGGACAGCCTAGAGAAGTGTCTCTCAATGAAAGGCTGAAGGGGTGTCCAAAGAGGGCCTGGATATGCCCAGTGGGCCTCTGGGCACAGCCCCCTGACTGGGAAAGTTAGGAGGGGCAGGTCTCAGCCCACCCAAGAGAGCCTGTACCAACAGAACTGGCCACCGTGAAAGGAACGGCCTGCGCTCAGGACAGTGAGGAGCAGGGGCCCTGCAGCCACCCGTGGAGGGAAAGAGAGAGACTCCTGCCAGGTGGGAGGGGCCGCCCGAAGGGGATCCTGGGATGCTGTCTGCCTTACGGCTCTTTTTTTGTTTTCTGTTTCCTACAAATCTTCTGGTCTCCTCCATACTCAGAAGAACAATTGGTGGGGCACAAACATGCTACTGTAGCCTGTGCCTCACCAGCTCAGTATTTAGTTTCGTCTTTGGGATGGGGCCGCACTTACCAACATCCCTTCCCAGATGACCCTTTTAGAGATGGGACCAAAAGAAAGACACTTTACAATAAGTAAAGTCCCTCGAACCCTCCCCCAACCCTCACCAACAGCTGAGAAAAGAGGAGGGTGGACCCATTGGAAAGAGAAGAATGGACAAGCAAAGTAGTGGATGCAACTCTTGCCCAAGCAAACCCGGCCCAAGCCCAGGAGAGAAAGGCTCTGGGAGCGGTACGAAGGGACCAGGGGGCCCAATAGTGCCCGGAGGAGAGGCCTGACAGTTGACAACGGCTGAAAACAGGAAGGGTTCCTCCTATCTGGCAATTGGTACCTGCAGCCTGGCGCTCGGCTCCCTCTGGCCGGGGCGCCCCCTAGGGCCGGCCAGATCACGAAGTCGGGCTCCCCATCCCACGCCGGGGCGGACGGGCAGGGGGGTGGGGAGGGGGGCGAGCGGCCAAGCGCCACCCTCACGCACAATTCCTGCGAGGTACGTCCCCAGATTCAGGCGCGCACTCGGTCACCAGAAGGGTGTGTACGCGCCTGGACGCTCCATTGGCTGCCAGCTTTGACCAGAGGTTTAATCATTACCGGATCAAGTTCCGCGGATCCTAACTTCGAGGCAAATCAGCTCAGGGGGAATCTCATTAAGGCTCGCGGAATTTAGCTCCGGCGGCAGGCGAGGAACAGCAAGACCACCCCTGCGCCGGGGCGTCGGGGCACTGCCCGCAGCGGGCGCGGATCTCGCCGGGGCGCATGTCGGGAGCGCACGGGCGCGGGGCTCCCTCGCCAGAGCGCGGTGTGTAAGCTCGGCCCGAGCGGCGCTCGGCGAGGCTCTCTCTTGTTCTCTGGCCCGGGGGTCTCCCGTGAGCACACTCACCTCTGGGGGACCCCGTTACCACGCTCACCTCCGATCCAGCCCGCCGCAAAGTCTTCCATCTGGAAGTTGCCCATGGCCGGTGCCGCGGCGCCTCGCCCTCCCGGAGCCGGGTCAGTGCCCATTCAGAATCTGTGGGGCGTGGCCCGCCGGCCCGAGCGCACCGGAGCAAGAAAGTCGGGGACTGGGAGCGCACGGGAGGTCCTACTCCAACCCTGGCTCCGAGTCACCGCGCGCGGGCTGCCGCGCTCACCTCTCCAAGAGCCCGCGGGCAGCTGACATCACGCCCCCCGTGGACCTTAAAGGCGCAGCGCTCAGGCTGGGCGAGGTGCGCTCTGCGCCGCGCATCCCGGCGCCGAGAGGAATTCCCTATCCCTCCCTTCCCCCGTCGTCCTCTCCCTCGCCACCAGTGGAGCCTCAGCTCCTCCAGCCGAGAGTGCCAGCCCCGTGCAAGTAATTGTTCACATCGGGTCCGACTGTGGAAATGATTTCAGGGACATTTTTGCGAAGTTCACCACAAGAGAGAGGGCGGAAGGCTTTATCGAAGGTCGGGAAACACTTGACAAACCTGTGATAGAATTACTTACCTGTGAGGGTACATCCTCTTTTAGGCTGAAAAAGCGCTGAAATAGTTCTATCTACTAAACTATCAACTAAACCAGAATTTCTTCTCTTTGAGGAACGAAATGAAAGCCAAGGACAGTTTCGCTATAAAACACACAGGACACGCACATTTCCACTGCAGTTTTAGAGGTTCGGAACCCTTCTGCCGCCTCCCTCCCCGCACCTCTCCGTAGTCCCCAGGTTTCAGAACCCTATCTATTCGTGAATAACTGGAATAATGTGTGGAAAGCGCCCAGCCGGAGGAGGGCTCCAAGACGGCCCTAAGTAAGCATTAGCTATTAATAACGTCCACCGTTGCTGAGCGTTTAAATCCTGCCTCACTCACTGCTGGGCTTCCTCCTCACAGTGACCCTGCGAGCTGAGGGTTCTTGGCATCCTCATTCCTAGGTGAGGCAAATGATGGTGTGTTTAGTGTATATAATGATATCTATACATATCACATAGAGTTTAATCTTTTAGGAAACTGGCCCAAATTAGGAGATGAAAGTTGTCACACCTGAGTTACAGGCTAAGCTGTGAGGGCAGATTTGAGGTTATTCTCAAACACCTGGTGGCCACAGTGGAGGGCCCAGGGGAGACCCCACTCAGAACTGAAGGTCCTGCAGCACCGCCGGCTGAGGGCACACAGCCCCCTGCAGGAAGCACCCCGCCAGGTGGAAATTTTCCCAGCCCCCAAAACTCTCAGCCCGCCAGGCCTTTAGGAGTGGGGAGGCAAGGCTGGAAATGTCCTCTGCCAGCTGGCTGGGTGTGAGGTCGAGGTGGCCAGATAGCACACTGTGCCTCTGGAAGTGCCTGCTTTGCAGGTCCCAGAAGCCACTGATACCCACCCCCAAGGCTCTCTGGGCCAGCCCCCTCACGCCCCCTCCCCACACAGACAAGCAGGCCCCAAACCCCGTTCTGCCACCTTGGCTGAAACACTTCTTCCCACCCCAAAACACACCCCCTCTGCCTCTCTACCCACATGCTCCGGACAAGCATATGGGTGCCGGAGCCCCCGCGCCCTGAGGATGCCTCCATCTCTGTGTTGAGGGCTTCATGCACGGTCCCACTTCCTCCTCACAGGAGCTGTGAGGAGCCCTAGCATTGCCCCCACTGATGGTCAGTTCTATGTGTCACCTTGGCTGGGTGACAGTCCCCAGTGAGTCAATCAAACACTAATCTAGGTGTTGCTGTGGAGGCATTTTGTAGACGCGGTTGACCGCACAACCAGTTGACTCTAGGAAGGGAGTGTACCTTTGCTGATCCAGGTGGGCTCCATCTAATCAGTTGAAAGGCTGTAAGAGCAAAATGAGGGTGTCCCTGAGGAAGAATAAATTCCTCCTGTGGACTGAAGTGTCAGCTCCTGCCTGAGCGTTTCCAGCCTGCCCGCCTGCCCCCCAGATTCCAGACCTGCCCAGCCAGACCCACAATTGTGAAAAATATACATATCTCCTACTAGCTCTGTTTCTCGGGTAGAACCCTGTCGGAGTTCACCTGTGAAGTAGAGATGAGGAGACCGAGGTTCTGAGTGGTTAGATGAGATCCTGTCCACCCAGGGATTATCATCCCCACAACCATGAGGTGGTAGAGTGATTCTAGGGACAACCTCGAGCTTGCTCTTGTCCTCTCTGACCGCTCCCCATGCACCTCTCATCCCCCTACACTTTCCCATCCAGCACCCCATCCTGACATGGTGCTTGGTGGGGTGCCCACGTCTCCCTGGCCTGTGCTGATGGTGCTGATCCCAATCAGCTGCGGGCTTGCTCTTCTCCATCCCAACCCTGGGCAGTGATGCTCCTTGCCATTCCAGCCATGTCTCCTCAGCGTCCTGGGCCCAGAAGCAAGCAGCTGGTGGTCTGGGGCACATTTAACTCTCAGGTACAGCTCTCCAGGGGCCCAGCTCCCTCCAGGGCCCGGCTCAGCCCACACTGTCCACCCTGGGCCAGCCTGGAAGGCAGAGGGGCCTTCTCTCTCTGTCAAACTCTCTCTCTGTAGATAGACCCTGCACCCAGCCAGGACCCCCTAGAGGTCCATGCTCACTGGGGAACGTGCCCTTGCCTGTGGAGGTGCTTTTGTTCCAGTGGGAGCTCCCTGGCCACCTCTGAAATGGAAGACAACCTGCTAACCTCCAGTGTACTGCCAGTGTCCAGCAGGGACCCGGCTGCGGGAGCCAGCTTTGAAGACAATGCATGGTCTGGAGGAAGGGGCCTCTCCTGGGCCTGCTCTTCTCCCTCTGGCATGTCCCTGTCACATCACCCAGAGTGCAGCGGCAGCCAGCCAGCCCTCCTCCTTCCAAGTAAGACGGAGTCTGACCACTGAGGCTTGATCCTAAAAGGGCCAAGAGGTCCCATGAGGAGCGGGACTCTGAGGTGGGAGGGACCTCCTCAGAGACTGGACCTGTGTCTGGGTGTGAGAGCCAGCACCAGCCCTCTGAGGAAAATGTAGGGGATGGAGCCACAGACGTGACTGGGATGGAGTCTTACAAAGTCCCGGGGAAGGATGGAAACATCACACTCCATCTCTGAGCCCCGGCTTCCTGCCCCACATGTGCCTCACTCAGTCCTGAGGTTTCAGGGTTGCCATCAGCACTGACCCCCGAGCTGAGCCCTGCCGTGCCTGGGACACATGCTGGGACAGTTATGAGACATGATAGGACTTTGAAGATGGCTCTTTTGTGAGTTCACTGTGGGAGCAAGTGCACAGGTGGAAGGCCCACCAGTTCCCCAAGGCCCACTCTTTTGAAGGACCACCCAAGGGGGGCCAGACAGATTGTCATTCCCTCAGTCTCGTGTCAGCACCAACTGGGAAGGCCCTGAACTGGCAGGCATTGTCCCCGGCAGCCACAGACGGCCTCCTGAGCCAGGGAGCTGCCGCTTGAACTGCTAATGAGGAGGAGCAGAGCGAAAGGTGTGGGCTCCTATCCAGAATGAACCACTATGCTCCACTCCTGAATGTGTGCCAAGAATCTGCCTACAAGGCACATCACCTGAGGGAGGCGGGGGGAGGACCCAGGTCTGGTGGCAGCCAAGGGCCAGCCTTCAGAATCCCAGACCCCCAGGCCGTGGGACCCCACAGAATGCTGACTCTGGGGAGGGCGTCTGGGCCCTTCCTTATTCCTGGCTGCCCAGCTTTGGAGCAGCATTTGTAGTACTGCCACGTGCATTTGAATTCTACCCTTGGGAGAGCAGGTAAAGAAACTGAGGCACTGAGAGAACAATTCCCTGGGTTGCTAGGGCAGGAAAGAAACCCCATTTCCTTCCTCCCTCAGCTCCTTCTGGGAAGGTAACTCCCAGAGCATTTTCCACTGCAGATGGATATGCCGATATCATTTGACAAGAGTGGCCCGCTTCCCAGTTCTCATCTGCCCTCTCAGGTAACGAGTTTTCTGAGCACCTTGTATGTGCCGATCTCTGCTCTTGGGAAGGTGTCTGTCAGAGAGGAGACAGTTTGTCTGAGATGCCACATGGAGGCAGCTGTGAGAGCACTGGAGTGGGAGCCATGTGCCGGGAGCAGTCAGGGAAGGCTCCCAGGCCTGGAGTCTCCCAGCTGCCCCCTGAGTCTATCCAGCTCCCCGGCTCCACCTCCTCAACACTCTCTCGGCCAAGCCCACAGTCCCCTACCTGTGCCACCTGCCACGTCTGGGCAGCAAAGCCCTGGGCCTATGTCCGGTGGCAAAGACCCCGCCCTGCCGCCTGCTCTCCTCTTGTCTCCTGGAAGCCGGCCCTCACCCTGTGTTCCTCCCTTCTCTCCTGCTCTGGTCTGGCTCCTGAAAGACTTGTCTCCTGCCCCTCCTTCCATGTGGGGTTCCTCAGGGCCCTCATCTTGACCCTCTCCCATCCATGCCCATCTCTCAGCTCACAACCCCCAACCCTTGTCTCCTGCTCAGACCTCACTTCTGAGCCCAGAATCCTTTCTCTACTCAACACCTCCACCTGGATGGCCCCACATCCATCTCTAACTCAATGTCCCTTGATGAACTCTCTGTCTAACTCCCCAAGGTGTTCCTCCTTCAGGGCCCTTCAACTCAGGGAAAGGTGCCTCCACCCAACTGGCCACCCAAACCAGACCCTGGATGCCATCCTTGATTCCTCTCTCTCCCCCAGGGCCTCATCCCATTAGCCATGACGTCCTGAGGGTCCCTCTCCTCGATGGCCCTGACATCCAGCCCTCTTTGATGTCTCCCGATGTGGCTCAGCCCAAGCCTATGCTACTCCCTGCTGGACCATGGTGGACAGAGGCCCCTGGGTCCCTCTTCCCGGTCTCCTGTCCACCTCCAGCTGCTTCCACAGTGAGCCTCTGAACCCTTGCACCTGCTCCGGCCCTCCTCTGTTGAAGGACCTCCAGGGACTCCCCACGGCTTGAGCATCATTCCTATTCCTCTGCTTGGCCTGCAAGGGTATGTGGGCCTGGGTCTGGCTGCCTTTCTCCTTCTCACCTCCTACCACCCCAGCCCTCCCCTCCAGTGGAGCCCCAACAGGGCGGTGTGTCCTCCACACCCCATGTGCTTTCCATGTGTGTGACTGTGCACTCGTGTTCCATTGCTGGGAACACCCTTTGCCCCCTTCTTTCCTGGCTAGCCCTATACCTTAGCTCTTTGAGACTCAGCTCAACTCTCACCTTTTCCTGATAGGCATTCC